CCCAGGGTCAAGAGTAGCCTGCCTGGAGGCCGGGCCAGCCACGTCTTTGCCAGGCGTGGGAGTCTCTGATTCAGTGACTCTCTTCAAGGAATGGGATAGGATCCAAGGAGGGGAGCTTGGACGGGTTTATAATAATGCATCTTGTTTACACTGATGGCCGCTTTCTCAGAGTCCCTCATAAACACAGCTCTGCATTGGCTCCCCTGGGCAGACAAGGCCTTGGGAGGTCCCCATAGCTCCCTGCCTTTCCCCACTCACAGAGGGGGAGAGACAGATATGGGGGTGTGGGGGGAGTCTCCTCTCTGGGCTCTGATGCTGGGTCTCCTAGAGGGAAAATGATGCCACTGTCTCCTCCACCCTCTGGTCCCATAATCCTCCCATCTTAGGGATGCAACCACCACAAGAGAGAGAAAGGAGTCCACCCAGAATTGGGCTCTGGGAGAAACACTAGTACCACCGCTATGACCCGTAAAATAACTACAATTACTAACATTCATCGATCCCTGACTATGTGCCAGGCGCTGCTCAAAGTGTTTCAAATAAACTAACTCATTCTATACTCACAACCATGCCCAGAAACAGGTGCAATTTTTACTCTGCTTTCCAGATGAGAAAACCGAGGCTCAGAGAGGTTCTGCTGCTTGCCAAAGCCACACAGCTAATAAGCAGGGTCGGCCTGAGTTAAGCCCCAGCAGTCTGGCCTTCAGAGTTACATTTTCTGCCTCACTCTAGACCTCTTGGCCAACACAGCCCTGTTTCCAGGCCCAGTCTAAATCCCTCACTCCTCCGCCCCTCCTCAGGCAGTCAATTAGCGCTGAGCACCCTTGGACAGGCACGGCATGGACCACCAGGGAGGCAAAAGGCACGGGCCTGCCCTCAAGGAGCTTGGAATCCAGCTAGAAGATCTCAGCAAGTTTGCAAGGAAAACTGAGGGGTCCCATATTCTCTGTTGGAGAAGGCCTAGGAAGGTTTCTGGGGAAACTGGACCTCAAACTGGGACTCCCCTTCACCATAGTGGCAGGACAGAACTCTGGGTCTGTCACCCCACTCCTTGCTCATTGGCTCACTGGGACCACACCCTCCCAGCCTGCTCCCTCCTGCTTCCCAGAACACTCAGGCCTGAGCTACAAGCCTCCAGCCCTAAAAAGGCAGGGACTACAGAGCCAAGACTAGCCCTGGAGGAGGCAGCACCAGGGACTGGCTTGGGCCCCCCAACCGCCCACCACCCCACCCCACCAAGGTCCAACTCTGCAGAGACCGACCATGTCTCTGAGGGAAAACAAGGTGTGAACAAGTAGGAAGATGGCCAAGGTCACCAACCTGAGTGGAGGCAAGCAAGGGACCCAGCCGTGCCTCCTGCCACCTCCCATCTTGGGAAAGTGCTGGAGGCAATCTGAGCACAGGAAGGAGAGGAGGGCCAGGTGTGACCTTGCATAATGGAGCAGAGCACCCAGGGAGGTGGGCACAGCCCTCAAGGCTGGCAGCCCAGCCGCCTGGCTACTCTCGTTCCAGCTCGCTGGTGCCCACACCTCTGCGTGCCTAATGGCTTTGAAAGCTAAGAGCCAGGGCCATGGGAATACAGCTCTGGGGACAATGGTCCCTCCAGTCTCCCAAAACCTCTCCCTCCCTCCCCCGGCATCACACCCACTGGCTGTTTTCAGAGTCCAGTAACTGAGAGGGCTTTCCTCTGCTCCCCTCCAATATACATCCCTCAGACGGACCTCAGCTCCCCTTTCTGGACAGAGACTCGTGGCTCTAGAAATAAGCCAAGAAGCCAGAACGGCCCGCTGCTGAGAACCTGTGCCGTCCATGCCAGCTCTAACCCTGACTCGTCCAGACTCAAGGGCACACACAGCATCTCACCATCCCGCTCCTCTAGGGTCCCTGTCGGACCAAAGGAGAGAGTGTCCTCCTGAAGCAGCCTCATCTAGTCCCAACCGGAGACACAGGACTCCAGTTCGACACAGAAAAGGACTTCATCCTCAGATGAAGCCGGGACTGACAGGAGGCAGGGGGATAACCAGGGCAACTCAGGCCCTACTCCTTCACTCTCCCCACCAAGGAGAAAAGGAGTCCCAGGGGCCGAGGGGAGATGCAGGCTGGGACAGAAAGGACGGAGCCCAGGCGGGTCCTGAGCCTAGCCTAGAAGCCCACATTTGACATCATGAAAAGCCCCAGCCTCCCAGGGTGTGGTGTTCAGAAACCTCTAACCTCAACCCCACCCTGCCTTTCTTCCCACTGCCTGGTGCCCACCCCATAGGGAAATGGGTCTGGAGAGGTGGCAGGGAGGGAGCAAGGGAACCCACTCCTCCCACACTCCTCCCTTGCAACCCCATCGCGACTCACATATACCACTTCAAGCTGCCCGGACAACCCTGTGTTAGGTCACAAATTTGGAAACTGAGGCTCAAGCGAGGGCCAGCCCTGGGACTTTCTGCATCTCAGAACTTGACACCGTTCCTCTGCCTACTACCTCCAGGCAGCCTGGGGAGGCCCCTTTCCATGGTAGAAGACGACAAAATGGCAGGGGCTTGAGCTGTCAAACTTCAAGCACACCCCGGCCCCTAATCCTCCTGCACGGGCCACCAGTTAGCCCCCTTAGCAGGGAGCATGGGCTCTAACTGAAGGCGGACAGGGGGCAAGGTCGCCCCCTCCATTCCACACCACGTCACACAGCCCACAGGTCTGTGCTGGCCCTCGTTGGGTTAACCAGCAGGGCAAGGCTCAGAGTGAGACAGGAAGAATCGGAAGAAACTCAGAATCTTTGCAGGAAGCAGCTGGGGCAGACCTGGTAGGAGAGTGTGCAGTGGGTGCGAGCGGAGAGCGCCAGGCTCTCTGTTCCCCAAACACCGGCAGGGAGGAGGAGGCAGTGCCCACGCCCCAGGCTGGAGGCCACCGCCTTCCTGCTCCCCCATTCTGGCTGTCAGAGAATTCCTGACTCCAAGAATCCCAGGACCTCAGCATCCCAAGAGACCATCAGGGTCATCTCTCCTAACCGCATCCCAGCTCAGGAATCCTTCCATGCTGTTTTCCAGCCTCTGTCTGAACTCCCCCCTGGGATGGGAAGCTCACTACCTTACAAGGAGCCCATTCTCCTGGGCTGGCCAGCCAGGCTAGTTAAGAACCCCTGTGTTAAACCTGAGCCAAGCTTCCCTCACCCAACAAAAATCCATTCTCCCTTTTCGCTTCCTGTTCCTACCTCAGTACAAACATGTCACCAAGAAGTCCCAAACTCCAGGTCTTCTGCTATAGCCCGTCAGAGATGAGAAGATGGTCACCCAACAGCAAGGTCGGCTCTGAACTCACCCACACCGTGCAACCAGCACCCGCCACCCACCCAGCCACCAGCTCCCGAGTGTTTATGATCCTGGAGGCAGCCACCCTGTCAGAGACTCTAAGCTGGGCTCTGAGCAACGTGAAGTATGGAGAGCACTGAGAGAGTGATAGGGAAGGAGAGGCAGGTGTCTGGAAGCAGAGGGTCCCACGTTGCCTCCTCCACCACCTGAAAATTCTCAGCTCCGGATCAAACACCTGGCTCCCAGCTCAGAGGGTGGGGTGGGGGGGGTCCTATAGACTGGCAGAGACCTTCCCCACCCTGGGATCCCAGCACTGTTCCATGAAGAGCTCTCCCCGCCAGCTCCCCACCACAGCCCTGGGCCAGGGGTCAGACGGGGGGGCACTCAGCTGTAGCAAGCTCTGAGATCCTGGGGGAGAGTGAGGGTGGGGAAGACAGGAGCAGCGGCCAGCTGGCAGGACTAGAAGCAACTTAAGGCCAAGTCTGAGCCACAATGGTCCCCACCCCACCCGGCAGCTCCAGGAAGGGGCCCAGCAGAGACTCAAGGAAAGGGAGCGCTCCCCACGCCCTCCTGACCCCCCTGCTTTCCCTCTGCCACATGGAAGAAGTTCTGCAACTTCCAGAAGAGAAACCCCTGGTTTCCAGGTCCTCCTCTGAGCCTCATCCCACAGTAGCTTGTCTAGCCCTCCCCTACCCAGCTCCCATCCTGTCCGCTAACCCCATCCCACCGTGCAGCAGGCTTCTCCTGGTCTCCCCTAGGTCCCCCTCCCTGCCCTGCTTTCTCTTCTACAACAGTGGCCTCAGCCTAAGAACATCTGGTCCTGAATTGGGGAGGGGGGTGCCAGATACTGAGGTTAGCTGGGCAGAGCCTCTCCCGCTTGGTAAGGGGTGGCAGGCAGGGCACCAGAGGGTCAGAGGAGGAGATGGGGGGGGGGGGGGGAGAGGAAAGGGGGGGGGGTAGAAGGCAGCTGCGTGTGTCTGTTCATTAACTACCTGGATTAGCCATTTCTGCCCGGAGGGGTGAGGAGGGGATAAGAGCTCCTGGCTGGGGGAGGGCAGCAGCGGGCATGCATGCCAGGCTGGGCCCACATGCCCAGGGACCCAAGCCGAGGGCAGTGCAGCAGGGAAACCCTTCCAGGCCTACCTGACCCTCCCGTGCAGCTGTGGCCAGCCCTCTGGGAGATGAGAGGTGGGAGCAAGGAGAGCCCCAAGGAGGAGAACGGGGCCCAGCAGCAGCTCCAGTGGGGGGCAGGGAAAAAATGCCCAGGCTCGCGTCTCTCATGGTCCTCTCTGAGGCAGCCCCGGGATGGCCAGTGGGTAGGGGAAGAGACTAATACTTCAAGCCTCCCCTTCTTTTGCCCTGCTGACCTCAGTCTCGAGCAGCCCCTGACACCCACAACTTCCCCAGCAAACCAAACTCCTGCGGATGGGCTCAGAGCAGGGACAGCCGCACCCCAAACATCCTTGCCAGAACCAGACCCCGCAGGCAGGGAACCGACAGGTTGGCCTCCAGGGTCTAGACCAGCCCCAGGGCATGTAACTGGGTGGGCTGAGCTCCCCCTCCCCTAATTTATAGGATCGGTGGTCCCGACAGCATCAGTAGGACAGGCCTACACGCGTGTGCAGGCGCGTGTGCGGGCGCGCGCATGTGTGCGTGTGCACACACACACACACACACACACACACACACACACGCCACACTCACCTTTCCAACAGAAGGGCCACTGGGTGGGGTGGGTGTCAGGTCTCACGGGACAGAGCAGTGGGCAATGACGGGGCGGCAGCTGTGGCCAGCCAGAAGCTGGTTGCGGAGAGGAGGGCGTGAGTGAGCCTTGTGTTTAGGCAGGAGCAGGCAGGAGAGCGGAGCTGGTCCCAGGGCCACTGCTGGGAGCAACTGAGCCTGGGCGCTGCTGGCCTGGCTCCCTCCCTCGGCGCGGCGGGCGGGCGGGCGGCGGGCGGCGGGCGGGCAAGCGCACCGCCTCCTTCCCCTCCTTCCCGGAGCCGGCCAGCAGCCTGCCCGCCCGCCCGCCTCCTTTAACCCCTGAAGCGCTTGGCTCCGGGCTCCCTGCTCCCGGCTCCCTGCTCCGGGCTCCAGGCTCCGGGCTCCCAGCTCCATGGCTGGGCGGCAGGCACATGACTAGGGCCCAGAAGTTCGGCCTCCCCTCCTTCAGCCACCAGCCCAGCAGTTCCCCCCGGACCTGTAGGGAGGCATCAAAGGGCCTGAGGACACGGGTGGGGAAAGGAGACAGGTGGCCAAGAGGTCCGGGACACCAGGGAAGAAACACAGCTGCAGAGAAATGGCCAAAGGACTGCCGGCTGGGAAAGGACATTTGGTCAGACGGGAATGGCAATGACAACCACAAGAACAGCAACTCCCAGTCTCTGTAGCATCCCCTGCTCTCTGCCAATCCCAACTCATTTGGTGGCAGGAGACCCAGAATCTCACTTTTGAACCCATTGTTCTGAAACACTCCCTGCTTTCTTCTCTCTGAGTTAAAGCTTTTGTGACTGCATTTATTTTTTTAAGATTTTTATTTATCTATTTGACAGACAGAGATCACAAGTAGGCAGAGAGGCAGGCAGAGAGAGAGGGGGAAGCAGGCTCCCTGCTGAGCAGAAAACCCCATGCAGGGCTCGATCCCAGGACCCTGGGATCATGACCTGAGCCGAAGGCAGAGGCTTTAACCCACTGAGCCACCCAGGCACCCCTGTGACTCTATTCTTAAAAGTGATGTGAAGTGGGGGCACCTGGGAGGCTCAGTCGGTTAAGCGTCTGCCTTGGGCTAAGGTCATGATCCCAGGGTCCTGGGATCCCTGGGATCGAGCCCCAAACTTTCTTTCTCCATCCAGCTAGTTCTCTAGAGCACGCGCGCTCTCGCTCTCTCTCTCTCTCTCTTTCTCGCTATCTCCATTGCTATCTCTCTCAAATAAAAAAATATTTTTTTTAAAAAGTGATGTGAACTCTAGTGAAAGAGACACATGCTTCAGCTCTCTTTGAAACGCATCAAACAATAACATGGACTGATGGATGGAGAGAGAAACAGAAATGTGATAAAGCAAATACACCAAAGAATTCATCACAGAATCTAGAGAGTTTGCCACATAATTTTTTCAGCTTTTCTATACGCGCGAATATCAGCGGAAACAAGATCTGAAAGTCTGAAGCACCATATAAATAAGAGTGAGGAAGGGAAAAGCCATTTGCTGAACACCTGTCGCATGCTGGACTCTTAAAGAATATTCTCTCTCACTTCATCTACGAATCTCCTTCATCCCAGCTGAAGAAAGCGATCTTGGAGTGGTTAGGTGACTTGTCCAAGACCACACAGGACGGTGCTGAGTGGAAACTCAGCCTTGGACAAGCTCACTCCAGAGCCAAGCTCCCCCCAGAGCCAAGCTCCCCACCACTCAGTCCTCCAGAGGCGGAAAGGCCCTTCTCTTCCCCATCTGGGCCGCCTTTGTGGGAGGTCCTGGGCCAGCAACCTGCATCTCGGAGCCTCAGTTCCCCTGCTGTCTGAAGAGTTTGAATCCAAAGGTCCTCACTCTGACTTCACTAATTCAGCCAAACCCTTCCCCAGGCTTCAGTTCTCCAAAGAGTAAAGTGACAGGGAAGGCCAGAGAAGGGACAAACGGTCTCAGGAAAGATCTGGGGGCATCTGGGGCCAGCAATGGTCAAACCTTCGGAGGGCTTTCTCCCTCCCCACCCCACCTCCCTGGTTTTGGTGATAGTGAGATCCTTGAGGATTCAGGGAAGGGGGCACCTTCCTGTGGACCCTGTGTGGGCAGGGTAGAGACAGAGCCTAATTGTGCCCTCCCTATCCCGGCCTTCAGGACAAGATGACTTCACCCCTTCCTAGGTGGAGAGTCTGGGTTCCCAGGGTCCCAGATGCCAGCATCTCAGAACCTACCAGCCTTGCAGGTGGCCTTGGTGTGTGAGGGTGATGGTGCTGGCAGGGACAGAGATGGGAGAGACGTGCCCCACTGAATGTATGTATCTCTGAGCCTGACAGCTACCCAGCCCAGCTCCCTGCCCAGCCCTCCCTGGCCCCAGTTCTGGGGCAAAGGTGAATCCTAAGAGACTTGTCCTGCTAACCCCTGCACCCCTGCAGACCAAGGGTGGCCCGGGGGCTTGGGACAGTCCTGGTCAGGTGAGGGAAGTGAGATATTCCATGTTGGCAATTGGGACTCGCCTAGAGGTGGATGAGGAGTCGGCCATGAAAGTGGCAGCACCCCCCCCAAGTCTTGGGCCACAGAGCAGCCCCCCAACCCCAAGTGCAGGACTGCACACTGGCTCCAGGGCCATCCTCCCCATCTCCTCATTTCAAGCCATACCCCCTGCCACCCTGATCAATACCAGACTGTCCCGGGCCCTCCACTGCCTACCAGATCCAGTCCCAGCTCTGCAGAAGGATGCCCTGCGACACAGCCCCAACTCTGAGCTTTTTGAAGGCACAATTCCCTCTCTTCTCTATTGTTCATCAGGCCTCAACTCAAAAGCCACATCCTCCCTGGGTCCTTCTGCATCTGCACCATTCGGTAGGCACTGTCCCTTTCTCTGGACCCTCAAGGCCCTTGCTCATACATTGACACCAGGACACTCACTTGTTAGGAGCACTTCTAGATCTCGCAGTGAGATCTAGATCCCAAGATTTATGCATCATTCCATTCCCCTATCCTAGCGCACTCAGTGCCCAGCACAAGGTGGGCACACAGACTCTCAACGAATGCAGGATGAATAACTGAATAGTGAAGATATGGATAGATGGATGGATGGATGGATGGATGGATGGATGGATGGATGGACGGATGGACGGATGAACGGACAGATGATGGATAGATGGATAGATGATGGATGGATGGATGGGTGGACAGATGGATGGATGGATGATGGATGGACGGATGATGGATGGATGGATGACTGGTTACAAACAGAAGGAAAGAGCACTTTTAAATGCTTGATTCTGCCCAAGACTGTACCAAGACTATAAAAGATGACTTTTATCTTCAAAGCTGTATAAAAAACTGACCATCAGAAAAACTGACCACGCTAAGACATGAGATTCATGTACCTGATTTCCCAGGCACACACCTTCCATCCCCGGTCTACAGGAGATTGGGGAGTGGTGTGGGTGTCTAAGAGATGCTGTCCTCAGCTCCTTGCAAGGAGCCACTGGAAGGGACGTGCTCCAACTTCCACCCTAACACTACCCCTCTCTCCCAGCCCTGCTCCAGCACCAATCCAGCAAGTCTCTAGAAACCACACAGACAGGAAATCAAGGAGCTAGAGGATTTCAAAGCAAAAGAGTAGCCTTCCCCTTTATTTCCAAGAGCTGTCCCATAGCCGATCATCCCCCGGAACCCCTCCCCCGACACCCTGGGGTTTCCCCAGTGTCAGTCCCAGCATCTCACATGCCTGCACACATGCACGTGCACACACACACACACACACACACACACACACACATGCTCACATCCAGAGTGAGAGCTGCTTTCTACAGAACGCTTCTTAGCCCCTTTTCCCTCCCCTCCTGGAAGCCCTCCTCCAGAGGCAAGGGATTCCCAGGGTTTCCCATCTCCCATTCCGCCCTCCCCTCCCTGCCTCCTAAGCCAGCCCATGCCCCTTTCCCTCCTCCCGCCCTCCCTCCCTACCACCCCCAAGTGCAGGACTGCACATCTGGTTCCAGTTGTGGCTGGTCCGTTCAGGGGTAGGCCTGGGGGTTTCTCATAAAACTGAATAATACCAGTGTTGGAGCCTGTGGAGCTGGGGGAAGGGAGGGCAGGAGGCCGAAGGGGCGGGAGGGAGAGAAGCGGGCAGCAAGGAGGCAGAGAAAGACACAGAGCCCAGAAAGGAGCAGGGCTGCGCCTGGCATCTAGCAAAGATTCAATGGGTGCTTGTTGAGGGAAGATAGAAGCCAGAGAGACAGAGGACAGGAAAGCCAGGAGGAGAGAGAACAGGACAAAGAGAGGGTCAGAAACAGAGACCTAGAAGGAGGAAAGAGACGAAGCTGGGGGTGGTGGGACAGCGCCACTGGGCCACAGAGCAGCCATTGAGAAGAACAGAGAAAATGAATCGTGCCTGTCGGGGCCAGGTGCTGAGTTAGGCACTTCCAGTGGAACAGGAGGGGATGTGACAGAAAGGAGGACAAAGGGACACACAGAGGCACAAAAGAAAGGGCAAAGATAAAGTCAAGGGAAAGACTGACTGCCTAAGAATGTCAACTCTGGATTCCCCCGGCCTCAGGGCCCCATGGGCCAGCACAGAGCAGCTCCCGTGTTTTCTCTCATTCTGTTCGTGTCAGGATTTGAAAGCCCAGCCTGCACCAAACATTTCCCATGTGTGTTTCCATTAAAAACCCGAGAGATGGCTCTAATTCTTATCCCGGTCTTAGAGACGGGCTCAGAGCAGTTAAGAAATTTACCTAAAACCACAGGGCAGCTGATAACACGGTATCTGAACCCAGGTCTTAAAACTCAAGGCCGTTTCACCAACCGACGCAACTGGGAATTCCGGGTCCCTGGTGCTCCCTCTGGAGGCCATTGCGTCATGTAAGCCCCACTCTTGTGGGGCCAGATCCCTGGGTCCTTCTCGCCCTGAGCAGGGCAAAGAGTAGACCACCACCACCCAGCAGGCAAGGACTGGCTTCCCAATCTTCCTAGGAGGTGCTGGAGCTATCCTGTCTAGTACCCTTGGCCCCCACCCTCGTCCTCCCTCTCCACCGCAGGGAAGGCAGCGC